GGGTGCTACAGTATTAGAAGTTTCGCCGTATCTTCCTGTATTATGAAAAAATCATGTGTCCATATGTGCTAAAATCATTGATAAATAGCACGACAGTGGGAAATAGGTCCAAATCTTTGTGGTTTGAGGTATTTGTGCATCATGACTACAGATGATACGCGAAGTGAATGCTTCGACATTAAAGACCAATTCATACAGCAAAAGTCTTGCTTTGGCAATCAACGGAACAAAACTTATCTGTTGCACCACACCGGTTATGGCAGTGAGGAGAAAGAAATTATACATCTTAGCTGTAACCAGTGTACACGAAGTGGCCACGACGTGTGCCATCCTCAAATCTTCCTAGAAAGGATCACTTGACTTCATCCCGTGGTCTGGATTTATGTGCTTCATTTAGACATCTAAAAATGTAAGAACATTTTATTCCCCTATGAAGTCCCTTATTTTAGGTTCACAATGAATTGTAAATTCACTGAGTCAGATAAATGTAAAGGTGTCAGGAATAAATGGCCATACATTTATTTCATTAAAATTTAGAGGCCATTTTGTTGTGCAAAACGCTAAGTTGACCCCAATCTTGGGCTCTACCTGTGGCCCTTCACGCCTCGTCAACGCTCAATCTGGGTGGTGTATAGCCGTTAAGCTCCTATGCGTTCTCTTTCGATTCATCGGGATTCCATCTCGAAATATCCAAAGCTTGCCGAAATAAGTTCTCTACATCGATAAACTAAATGCAATGAAATTATTTGACAAAATGCGTTAAAGGATTTAAGTGAATAATTCATCCAATTTGTAGCATAGGAAATTTTGAGAAACTTGTAGAGACTGCGCTGAAGCAATGTTGATGAAGTACTTGAACAGTTGTTTGTTGGGTGTGTTTGGCAGTTAGTAAAGCACGGGGAATATAATACTTTCGGTATGGCATTTACATTTTTAGCAAATAAGGCTATTGAGAGCATATCTATGTGTAGCGTTTATAGGATCCAGGTGGACAAGGGTAGATTTTTCATTTAGGAGGCATTTTATTGGTGAACGTTAGGCCGATGCTAGTGAGGAGCCCTGGACTACCATAACCGCGATCTGCCAAAGGACCTAAAGTGTACACATAAAGCTTAACTAATACAGAGATGAGGACTGCTAAATATGGTCACCAGTTAATGAGAGACAGCCACTAGATCTGCGTTCATGCATCGAACGACCGACTGAGTGACCAGCTCTCATCGAATGGTTGCTTCCATTATCGCTTTCGGCCACTTGTATACTTGCAAGAACGGGATGCCTACTTCTTGACCAACCGTTCTAAATTCAGGATTTATGTTTAGGTGTTGTGAGTTTCGTTTTCGCATGGCACTGAAAATGCTCAAACTTGGGTCTGATCTGTTGCACAAGAACGAGGACACTTCTCACTAACCAATTAGGATTTGGATGAATTGCCTAGCTAGATCGATTGTAAAGCAAGCGACGCCAATGTGAAGTGCAGCCTGGCATTAAACAAAGGTCATGCTGTTTAGATTTGTATGTTCTGTGGTTTCATTGTGACATGGAATTAAAGTAGTATGATAGCTGGATTCTTCGAATTGTAGGATGGACATTGATCCATGCTATCAGCGTTCAGGAAATTTTGCGCATCAGTGAGGCATGGAACGCCATACAGCTTAGAGTCATTTTAACTTAAATGAAAATCAAAGACGTTAACTTTTACCTAGAGCAAAATGCACAACAGTTTTTTGCAAAAAATGTAAGCGATCCGCGAGAAGGTACCAGTGCTACCTAAGTACATTGATATGTGCGTAGATGGATGGGTGGATTGATGATTTTGATTTCATCCTCACTTTTAATAACTTGATGAAGGTGATACAGCAATTTGGATAGTCTCTACTGAATAGTTGTCACCCAGGAGGAACAACTGCTACGAGGCAAATTTGCATTCAGTCTCATCGTCACTGACGAATGGGTTGTTACTTCACAGCTGTAGGTGGAGTAAATTAGTAATTAATGCTGTGGTTTATGAAGTCACAACAAGAGATCATTAAAACCAAGACCTAATGTAAACAATGTGGATGAAGGAAGGCTTGATTTACGTTAAATCTTCCGGAAACAGCTTGACTTTAAAAGTGCTGTCTCTAAATTTGGTTGCCTTACAAGTCTTTCGTAACATGC